AAACATTTAAGAGAAGGTAATAAATTTGTATTATTATTATTATTATTATTATTATTATTATATTTTTATCCTGCCTTTTTTATATATAACTCAAGGTAGCAAACATACCTAATTCGCCTGCCTCCTATTTTGATTAAAACTGTTAAAACTTTAAATTAAATTAAAATTATTAAAATTAAAAGTTAAAAAAATCGACTATGCTAGATGTTTGTGCAGGGTCTGATAAACATGGTAGGAGTTACTAGATATGGTTATGATGTATTAAAAATAAGGTAGGGAAAGCATGCACAGCATGGCTTCTGGAATTCTTTCCAACTTTTTTTAACTGCAGTGGCTATTGGAGTGATTTGTACTTTCATCTGCGTAACGAGTTAATGGGTGTGTGTTTGTGTGCTTTCCCCTTATGTGATACCTGTGTGTAGATGTATGCTCTGGGAAGCAAAAAGCAAGCTGCATTTGCTCCACTCTGGGTCATGTGACCAGGAGGGGGTTTAGAATGGAGCAGTCATCAGTGTTCTGAACCACTGCCCAATTGCCTGTCTCACAGGGATGCATGGGGAGTGTTCTGAAAGATTTTCTTCTGCAGCCCCAAGCTGGATATGGCCCATTCTCAGATTTGATCTTTCTTATGCCAGCTTTCCAAACATACCAAATCCGGACTTGTTGTGTTCAGTTTTTAGATAGATAATGGATGGGCAGACAGACAGAGACCTAAGCCTCTTTGCATTTCCAACATTTCATTGGGTTAGAAAGAATAAAGAGCAGCAAACAAATTCATAAGTCTAATTAAGTGTATGTATGGAATACTTGCACATTCTTCTACTACATATTTTGGAACTGCATCCTTCTTGGAATGGGTCCCCTCCAGATGTGTTGGACTGCAACTCCAAGACTTTCTATCTAGCTAAGCCAGCAGCTATATTTGATGGCAGTTCTAGGGTTATAATCTTAATTATCTGGACTAAGGAAGTCTACTGCCCTCTGCCTTTTATGTTGTTTTTGGTTTAGAAATCCCAGGTGCACATTCCTGTGCTTTTGTTCATTTTAAAGAATAGGGTTGTTTTTAAGATACTTAGCTGACAAAATCTTTCTTTCACGTTAAAGGATTTTTTTAATCTTAATAAAGAACTAAAGTTCTGTTAAATGGAGTTTGCACATGTAAGAGAAACAGACTATGGTCAGCATATGTAGAAGAGATGTACATTAAACTCAGAGTTTGTATTGCTACTGTTTTTATTGAGAGTTGATTGATTTTATTTTCTTACTCTCTAATATACATCTGTATATTAGTGTACACTAAGTGATTGCAACCCCCTTCCCATTCAAGTTGGCTAATGGCCATAGTAAGGAGATTTGAAAACTGAGGAACTTCCTGCTTCTATAGAAGTCATCTGACTTCATTTAATGTAGCCCAGCCATATTTGTATATTTATGAAGCTGGGTTTTGATCTGCTGGGGTTTTCCCCCCCTGCTTTTATTTTCTTTCTCTCCTTAATTTATTATGTGTGTATTGCAAATATATTGTTTTAAATTTATTTTATATATATTTTATATTTTACAAATAACTTCCAGATGCCGTTGTATAGAAAGCAGTATAAAACTTACTTAATAATAATTAAATATCTGAGGATGCTCTGGGTATCAATGTAGAGTTTTGAAGTCTTGCACCTTCTCAATAATTCTGCTTCTTGCAGATATTTAATAATGTGAAATATGCTTAATACCATGCTGAAGGAAATAATGCATTACCCTTTGAATGTCCTGATCAATAGCTTTTGATTTCTGTGTTATGCAGTCCTAGGAGGACAAGGTGACGGAGGAACTAAAACACGACAGATAAAAGAAGCTGTTTTTCAATTAAAAGTCAAACAGGATATACAGGAAGAGCAAATCAATCAACTTAAGTGGTGAGTGATGTCACACTTATGCAAAAGGAAGGAAATGAACCTAACTCTTCCAATCAAATTAAGTCATTCTGCCACTTAGCATGTTAGTAAAAGAGATCTTGTAATAAAATTCAAATAATTATCATTTCTCAGTTTGTATCTGGTTATAGTCATTACATGGTATTGTGATTAAAGATTGTGGTTAGTAGTTTCATTATAGGTGAGCAGCAAATACCAACAGGAGTGGGAAGAGACATTTTTAAATCTGTCTAATGGTAGTTTTGTATAAACACATCCAAGGATGATGATAAGGCTTGGGAGATCTTTTAGAATGATGTGGGATATGGCATAGAAAGCAGAAGTAGTAAGGTGGAATCATAGAAAATCGAGTGTCTTGCCTTAACACGAACAGAAGCATTGCTGCAAAGCCACCAATCCATTGGTGGCTTTGCAGCAATGCTTCTGTTCGTGTTAATTAATCGTAGATTAAGTCATAAAGAAATGTCAAAACAAGCTCTGGCAAAATATAATATGTTAATCTAACTTATGACCTACCAACCATGATTTATGGCTTACTGTGCTCTGTGAATCCAGCCATTGTGATATGTTTAACAACCAGAGTTGAAACAAGGCATGATTTTACATGTTTATGAATTAGCCATTGTGATCCTTGGCCTGGCTTGCTCATTATTAATTACAAGTCCCCTCAACTGTAAATTTGTGAACTCATGTGGGCCATAAGTCAGCCAAGTTAAGCATTTTAAAATCCTTTGTACTTCAGGAGGAGAAATGTGCTTAATTCTTGGACTAAAACTTAATTCTTGGACTTGGACGTGTGCTTAATTCTTGGACTTGGACATGTGCTTAATTCTTGGACTAAAACAAGTGGGTTTCTAAAATGTTAGACTCTAGAATATTCTCATCCATCCTGTCTACTCACCGTCAGTCATATGCATCAGCACAGTATATGATAATCAGTTTGACAAGTGTATAGTGAAGTGACAGTAGTAAGTCAGTCAGTAGACACGTAATGTACAAAAGCTATTGAAATTTTGTATTAAATATATTTTTCTCCAGGCGGAAGAATTATTAATCAAGAGTGCTTTTTCTGAACTGATTTTTTAAAGTAAAAACTATTTTCTTTTGAATTTCAAACACAGGCAAGTTCATTTAGGTAAAGATCCAATATGTCCAACTGTTCAAAAGCAAATCCTTGAAGACCGGCAGAAAGAAGAAGAACTTTACAAGGTGAGGATAGAGGATAAAAAATAACTCCTCATTTTATACATTCTGGGAAATATGAGAGACCCACTCAAGTAGGATAGAATAATTTTTTAGACTGAAGAGGATGGGATCTTATCTTGAAACAAAACAGGCATCATCCTTGCTGCCATAATATTTTGTATTGTATACGTTATTTTTATTAAAAAATTGTTTATTTTCCTAACTTCAGAATTCACATGCAATGTCAAAAGAAAAGAACAGCAGAAGAGAAAAGGAGATTGTCTGTTGGACAGTCCCTTTTGGAATATCTATCCATACTCTCTTGTAGGTTGGATCCAGTGATAGCACTACTGCTTTATTTCTTTTGGAGTACTTCATTTTGTATATCTCAAATTGTGCTTAGATGATGTTCTGTCCCATAGAAGAACATTAGATCATCTGTAAAACTGGAGATCTATCCCTTCCCAGCACTTTGTTTTAATTTCTGTCCTTTCTTATAATCATATTGAGGCCCAGCTTCTCCCACAACTATTCATATCTCTCTCAGTTTATTTTTTTCAAAAGATATCTATCTACTCCAACTCAGAAAGGGACATGTTTTAATGAACAGCAAGTATATGGAGCTAGATAGATGGTATTATAATTACAATCCCTTCCCAAGCACCTTGAAATGATTATTGGGGCTGTGCAGCAATCCAGATTGAAAGTGGAAAATATGTCTGCTTGGGTTTGTGTGAGTATGAAGGTATAAGCCCAGGAACAGGTGCTGCTTCACTAAGAGCCAACACCAACTTGATGGCACATGATCAGTCTTTAAGCAGGTATCAGCAGATGATAATTGCGCTTCCATGCAGGTTCCAGATCACCTTTTCCCCTTCAAATGTAGCTTGCTGCATAGTTTTGATGATTATCCTTGCAGGCCTGTACTCATGGTTCGGAAATGAATCCCACTGAACATAGTTGGATTTCATTCTGAATAGGTTGAAGATTGACCTACTGCTTTCAACTGTACAAAACTGTCTGAAGAATCCATATATAATCTGCAATCACTTCTTTCTTTTAGCTATTCTAATTAAATCCCTCATTTGTCAATGCCTCTGTTAGATACCATTGAGTTGAGCCTTACCCTTAGCAATTTATGGATGAATGTCCACCATCACAGTCTGTCCTTGGAAATAATCCATAGCTGTGTCAAGGACATTCCAGTGAT